AGGGGGGGCTTCTTCTCCAACTGTTCATTTTCACAGCTCAGGGAGGGGCTGTTGCTCACACTGCAGAACTCATGAGGATGAAGGAATTTGATTATAGCATAGCTAAAAACAAGTTGATTTTGCAGGATACAGGCCCTTTAAACTTTTACACTGCAAAAAATTAAAATCTACATAAGTCATTTTTTCTTTTAAAAAAGTGATTTTTTTCTTGAATTGAGGAGGAAAGTGAGGCATTTTGCTAATGGATCGAAACAATTCACATTTAAAATAAGGAAAAACAATTGCATGTCTTATTTCAAGTGCATATTATCTAATTATCTAATGATACCTACTCAAATTAAGGGTAAATACACAATACATTTTTACTTATTTCTAGATCATTTTCCCAGTATACCAAAAATGGTCATCTGGTTGTCTCAGAATAAAAGTCTCTAGATTGGACCAAGAAGAGATACTCTAACATAAACTCCTTATTTGAGTCATTTTGAAAATTTCTAAAGATAGGATACTGTTTTCATTGGAAGCCGTATTCTTTGAGTTATCATAAATAAAACTTTGTTGAAAAAAAAAATGTTCTTTGTCTTCCTTCAGTGTCTGTTGATGGTGTCGAGTGGAACGACGTGAAGTTTTTCCAGCTGGCAGCTCAGTGGCCGACGCACGTCAAGCACTTTCCTGTCGGGATCTTCGGCTACAGCAAACTGTGAACTTCCTGCTTACCATGGTGACTTATGAGGCTCTGAGATGTTTTCACCACCCTGTTTCCTACTGTCTCAGCAGGATAGGAAATTGTGTTTGAGCCCAACTTTAATTTAAGAAGCAGTTCTGAGAAGCAGTGTTGGGGTAACCCAGTTGACCCGGCAGCATGTCCCATTTGATTTACTTAATCTGTGAAAACAACTGGAAATATTGGAAGTCCAAAAAAATGTAACCTGAAAGATAAATCACTTGGTGGAAACTGTCTTTATGGTTTATATTTATCATTATTCATCATTCAGAAGTGTGGAGTGAATTTGTTACTATTATTTCAAAGATGTTTCCTAAATGTAAATTGCAGTACTGAAATACATTTTTCCCCCTTGTTTCTTAGATTTTTCATTTTTTTTTTTACAGATTTTATATTTTCAATTTTATTTTTTGTAATAGTTTTTTCAGATCGAGTTTTACAAATTGTATTCTTTAAATTATGTTTCTCTTCACTTTAAGGCTAATACAATGCTCACTCTGGTCCAACAAAAAGTTGTTGTGTCCAGCAGAACAATAGAAATGCGTCTTTTATCGTCACTATAGAGGAAAGCCCGCCCCCAGAAGGGAAGAGGACACAATTTGAAAAGAATTTGTCAAACTTAATATAAAAAAAGAATAATAAAAAAAAAGTATTTGAAAAAATAAAAGCTATAAACAACTATTTTAAAGTATAGTTTCTGGTTTTCACGTTTTTTAATTTCCATTTACAAAACTCTCTCTTTGCAACATTAATGGAACAAAATTAACTCCATACAGAAACAAAGTTACATATAGTTGGTGAAACGGTCAGATTTATTCGTAAAATGTAATTCTGTATGTATATTCATTTCATGTTGGAAAAGATTTATTTATATCTTAGAAATGTTTTCCTCTTCACGTATTTATTCTTTCATTTACATAATGAAAATAAATAAATAAAAAACTACATCTGCTGGTCAGTTTCTTGAGTAAACTAAAAGTTTCTCTTTGGTCCTTGCATGTTTTTTCACTTTTTACAGAAAAATATTCAGGACTGTAGGAGGGACAGCGCCAGAACTTTGACACCAAAGCAGGACTATATTTTTTTTTTCTTCTGAGGGACTCATATTTTAGAGCACAGCTTTCATACTAGAACTTACCAGTGCTGCGAAATATCGTAAAGTAAGATGCAAAGAAAAAAAAATCACAAGAAGGAAGCCATAAGTTCATGTTTCTGTGCAGTTTTCCTTTATAAATCTTAATTTGCATTAAATAAACTGTATCTGGTTGGACCGCCTCGTTCCTGCCTATATATGAATATACAAAGTATTATGAATACCCAGAACGCCCCACCATGTTTTTGTGTTTACATAATCTCAGCAATGGAAGTCAACGATGCAAAAACATGAGATCTATTGGTTGTGAAATACTACGGAGCCCCTCTGGTGACATGGGCAGAAATTTTTTTTTTAAGATGTTAAAGGAATAGTACACCCAAAACATGATTAGCCTTCATTTTCTACTCAC